GAGAGTCAGAATGCCAGATGATTCCGCTATGTCAGCATGACATTTGAGTAGCTCCCAAAAGCGTTTTCTCGTTGGCCAAAAGATACAATTAGAGGCACTTTTGCCAAGTAGGCACAAATCCAGTTGCCTCATGCAACAACTTACCTGTTGCGGTTAGAACAGAACCGAGGAAAACCCTGCCTGTCAGATTTTGTTGTCAAGGCCAGCATTGGAGCAGAACTCAACCACCTTACACACTTTCTACTAAAGAGAAACTCGTAAGTGTAAACACCCTATTTATTTTGGCAGATTATTTTCTAAAGTTCACTGATGTTTTGACAAGATGAAGTTCCTCTCCTTCACTGAAAATATTGATAGAATTTGTAGATGTAATTTGATTTGATTTCACAGTTATACATGTACTTGTCAAGGGTGAAGGATTCGGCTGTGTCAATTAATCCAAAAGCTATTACGGATTATTTTGAAGTTTGAATTATAGTCAGGAACTTACCTTTTCCTTCCAAGTTAGAAATGTAGTACTTGTACAGTTTGGCCATTTCTTTAAAATTAGATGGTCAGTGGTCACTCTTGATGTCAAGCACAACTACCCTGCTACCCATGCTACCCAGTGTCACAAATTGATTTGGATGACACAACGTCTACAAATACTCAAGTGCAGTGCTGAGAATTGAGCAAGCAAGAGTTGACACACTGCGGGAGCCGGAACTTAAGTATAAGGGATGTATACATTGAAAACTACATGTATTTCTAAATGAGAAAGAACAAAGCCTTGGTGCATTTTTATGACAATGAACTCTAATCTTCTGTGATTGTAAGGAGCTTGAAATGATTTGTAAAGATTCAAATTGATTTTGTATTTCACTGATTAAATTTAAATTTGATCTTTTTTGGAGTAAAAAAATACGTTAAATTGGATAGCTGAGAATCAGAAAACAAAGAGATAATTTAACGGTTTATTGTAAACCTCATTTTTTCCTTCAACTTGATGAAATCCTTGATTGAATTGTGCTCTTTTTATGCCTATGTATAAAGTTTTGTAAAAAAAAACAGTTGTAAACCAGAAAGGAAGAACACTTCAATACTGAGAAGTTTCCGCCTCATCCTTTGGCAGTCTCATTCTTACATACTGCAAATGTGTTTAGTTGAAATATGTACAAATTGGCAAAATTAAAGGAAAAGGGAAAAATGTACAAATTTTCGAAGTTAATATCTAAATATCTCCTTGATTTACAACGTGGACAATTTAGGAACAGATTTCTTTAAAAAAAATCAACTGTTGGAGCTTTAGTTATGTCAGAATTGAGAGGGGAAAAGATCGCAATGATACAAATGTGATAAGGTGAAATATGTACACATTTTCAAAGTTAAGGGTAGAAACACAAAAAGACTCAATACCTCTCAAACTAAAAGGCTAAGTATCTAAATACCTCCTTGATTTGAAGCATGGACTTTTTTGGAACTAATTTCTTTAAACAGTCAGAGTGTCAGAGCTTTAGTTATGTCGGAATTGAAAGGGGAAAAGATTGAAATACCGCAAATGCGATTAGGTGAAATATGTACAAATTGGCAAAATTAAGAGAAAAGCAATGAAAAGACTCAATACTTATATAGCTAAATGGCCAAATATCCATAGACCTGCTGTATTTGAAGCATGGACTATTAAGAAAAAGATCTCTTGAAAAATTTAGACTGTTGGAGCTTTAGTTATGTCTGAATTGAGAGGGGAAAAGGTCGGAATGCTACAAATGTGATAACGTGAAATATGTACAAATTTTCAAAGTCAAGGGTAGAGCAAAGAAAAGACTCATTACCTCTCAAACTAAAAGGCCAATTATCTACATAACTCCTTGATTTACAACGTTGACAATTCAGGAATTGAGAGGGGAAAAGATCAGAATAGCGCATATGCGATGAGGTGAAATATGTACAAATTTGCAAAATTAAGGGTAGAGTAACAAATAGACTCCATACCTTTCAAACTAAATGACCAAATATCTAACTACCTGCTTGATTTGATGGACCATTCAGGAAATAGTGTTTTCTTTCAAAATTTGGACTTTTGGCGCTTTAGTTATGTCAGAACTGACAGGGGAAAAGATTGGTATGCTACAAATGTGATAAAGTGAAATTTTCAAAGTTAACGGTAGAGCAACGAAAAGACTCAATACCTCTCAAACTAAAAGACCAAATACCTAAATACCTGTGCAATTTGAATTATGGACTATTAAAGCACTGATTTTTTGGAAATTTAAAATTTTTGGACCTTCGCTTATATCAGAATTCAGAGGGGAAAACATCGGAAAGCAGCAAATGACATGGGGTGGAATATGTATGTATTATCAAAGTTAATTAAGAGNATGCCTATGTATAAAGTTTTGTAAAAAAAAAAAAACAGTTGTAAACCAGAAAGGAAGAACACTTCAATACTGAGAAGTTTCCGCCTCATCCTTTGGCATTCTCATTCTTACATACTGCAAATGTTTTTACGTGAAATATGTACAAATTGGCAAAATTAAAAGAAAAGGGAAAAATGTACTAATTTTCAAAGTTAAGCGTAGAGCAAAGAAAGACTCAATACATCTCAAACTTAAAGTCCAAATATCTAAATATCTCCTTGATTTACAACGTGGACAATTTAGGAACAGATTTCTTTAAAAAATTTCAACTGTTGGAGCTTTAGTTATGTCAGAATTGAGAGGGGAAAAGATCGCAATGATACAAATGTGATAAGGTGAAATATGTACACATTTTCAAAGTTAAGGGTAGAAACACAAAAAGACTCAATACCTCTCAAACTAAAAGGCTAAATATCTAAATACTTCCTTGATTTGAAGCATGGACTTTTTTGGAACTAATTTCTTTAAACAGAGTGTCAGAGCTTTAGTTATGTCGGAATTGAAAGGGGAAAAGATTGAAATACTGCAAATGGGATTAGGTGAACTATGTACAAATT